ATCATCCTATCACTAGTAATTCCCATAAAGGATTTCCTCGAACTGTTTCAAGGATTTTGTTTATTTTGTGGTTTCTGAAGGAGGGGACTTGGGGCGGGGGGGGGCGGGTGAGTATTTCGTTAAAAAAAAAAAGGTCATCCATTTGTGGTGTTGACTGAGGCCATTGCGCCAAGATTCATAGGAAAGATATGAATGATGAGGATGTTTCCTGTCATTCATAAAATGTTAGTGTGTTATAATGTGGATAAATATACTCTTTCATTTTTTTTCTCTCTCTTTATGTGTGTTCCTTTTTTTCCTTCTCTGTCTCTGTGTTCCTTTTTTTCCTTCTCTGTCTCTGTGTCTGCCTCTGTCCCTGTCTCTGTCTTTGTCTCTGTCTCTGTCTCTGTCTTTGTCTCTGTCTCTCTCTGTCTCTCTGTCTCTCTCTGTCTCTCTCTCTCATTCTCTCTCTCTCTCTGTCTCTCTGTCTCTCTCTGTCTCTCTCTCTCATTCTCTCTCTCTCTCTGTCTCTCTCTCTCTCTCTGTCTCTCTGTCTCTCTCTCTCTCTCTCTCTCTCTTTCTCTGTCTGTCTGTCTCTCTCTCTCTGTGAAAGGAAGTCTCCTTAAGCATCACTATTCCTTCGCCTTGAGATGGCGCCCAGCATCCCTCAGCGTAATTCCCCTCTTCGGAAGCCCAGATGTTCCTAATTCCCCCTTCTCCCCTCGCCCCCCCCTCCCCTCCTCTCCGCCGACATAGCCCAAGGTCACCTCCCCTCAACCCCCCCCCCCCCATCTCCCCACTCCTACAGGCGACCCATCCTTCCGAGAGTGTCATCTTGTTTTGACATCCGGTCTTTCTTCATTTTACTCGGAATCCTTTTGGGTCTTTGAGTCCTACCCCCAACGTAGGATCTCCCCCCCCCTCCCTCACCCCCCCCAGGCGCCCACCTACCCATCGACTCCTCCGTTTCCCATGGCTCTCTCGTGTTTTTTTTTTTTTTTTTTTTTTTTTTTTTTACGATTCGCTTATGACGCTCGTTCTACCTTGCTCTTCCCTTCACATTTCATCCTCACTTTTGCTCCTTCGTACGAATGTCTTATCGCTAGTCACCCTTCACCCTATTCTTACGTTTATCCTTGTTCCTATCCCTCTCCCCATTCTCGCCCGTGCTCCTAACCCCCACCCCACCCCCCACCGCCTCCTTCTTATCCCCACCACCATGCTCGCACTTATCCCAAAACCTATGCCCATATACCCCAGTCCCCCACCATCCATCCCCCCCCCCCATCATCTCTCCCATTACCCCTACCCTCCCTCTCTACGTGGCACCCGAGTCATGCAGTGCCAGGATGTGGGGAATGCCCAGCGAAGGGTGGGGGTGGGGAGGCCATGTATTCTTGGTGGTAGGGGGTAGGGGGGTGGATTACGCATGAGGGGGTGCCAAAGGGGTAGGGGGAGTGGCACTTAGTAGTAGGGGGTAAGGGGGCCTGATTGCGTATGGGTGGTGCCACTGGGGTAGGGGGGGGGGTATGTGGCACAGTGTCACTATCAAGCTCCAGTTGCGCAGCGGATGTAGGGCTGCAGATACATTAACATGAGAGAAAGAAAAGAAATTTTTATATGTTACTTTTACTTCCACGATATTTCCATTTTTTTTTCCTTGACTCTACATACTTTTTTAAATTTTTTTCTCACTTTTTTTTAAAAATTATTAATACACTTTTATATTTTCTCGCTTAATTAGTTGATGGCGACCATGATTGCGATGACGTCGATAGTAATGAGGTAACTGAGATTATAAATAATTGCAGATATGATGATTGTAGTGATGATTATAATGAGAGTTTCATCCTATTTTCAGAAGCACTGTGGTTATTAATATCAGCAATGTTGTAATATGTTAGTTATTAACATTAACTATTTTATAAACATAATTATTATTAGAAATATCATCATTGTACCAATTAGCACTATTATTATTATTATAATTATTATTCATTATTATCATTGCTGTTACTATCATCACAATTATCATAGTTATAATCATTATCATCTTTATTGTTATTACTTTTATGATCAGACAGACAGACAAACGCAGAGATAGACAGACAGACAGACAGACAGACAGACAGACAAATCGAGACAGAAATCACCCAGCATTATCAACAGAGAGAAGGAAAACGATGGAAGGAGACGAAGCAGGAATTAGATAAAGGAAGGAAGAAGAGAGCAGCACAAGGTCGACAGAACAAGAAAGGAAATTAGAAGTAGTGAGAAGAAAGCGGGAAATGTAAGAGGAAGAGGAAGAGGAAGAGGAAGAGGAGGAGGAAGGGGAAGAGTCGGAAGGAAAAAGAATCCTAGAAAATAAAATAGATAAAAAAAGAATAAACCCTAAGAATTGTATCATAAAAGAGAGAGAATAAAAGAAAGGAATAAGGTCAAATAGGATAATAGAAATGATATAAAATAAGATAAAATAATAAAACATAACATGAAAAGTAAAAAAAAAAAGATAAAATAAAACATAATATAAAAAGTAAAAATAATGATAAAAATAATAAAGAATAAGATACAGTAAAATAATAAATAATAATATCAACAAGTAATAAAAAATGAATAGAATAAGATAAAACACGTAAAACAATAATAGTAAGATAAGATAATAAATAATAATAAATTAGCAATGAATGAAATAAGACAAAACACACACACACACACACACACACACACACACACACACACACACACACACACATACACACACACACACACACACACACACACACACACATACACACACAAACTGATAGAAAAAACACCACAAAATTTAACAAGCAGGAAGCAAGTAGACTCCAGAGGAACAGATTAGATTAGCCGAACACGCGAGGTTGAAGTCAGCTGTGGCCGGGACGCAGACACTCAGGAGGGGGGCTGGCCATAATATCCCCCGCTTGGCCATTTTTCTGATGTCACGAAAGCCCAAATAGCTGTGGTGAAGAGAGGAGGGGGAGGGGGGGGCAGGGAGCATTTAGGCCTTAATGGCTTCGAGGAATTAT